ACACGTAACCAACTCTCCCCCCTCTCTCTCTCTCTGTCTCTCTCTCTCCCTCTCCCCCCCCCCTCTCCCCCCCCTCTCTCTCTCTCTCTCTCTCTCTCTCTCTCTCTCTCTCTCTCTCAGCGCATACTTGATCTAAATTGGGGAATATGCAAAAGTTAAAACATGAAAATTACATAAAATGGCTCCATTCTATATCGTCTGACAGTATGAACACAAGTAATTTATAATGAAATTAAATATCTAAAATACGTGTGGGATGTTAATGCACTTTTTTGCTGATGAGAACAGTTTTTTATTGGGATGAAACTCGAGTCTTCGATTCAAGGCTAGTGGTGTCACTCTGAACTGAATTTCCAATTTCCTAATACTTTTTCTTCTTCATTTTAAAGTGTGGATAAATTCGCGCTGATCACTCCGAGTCGTGAATAAATAATTTCTGACACAAAAGCCCACTACAAATTAAACTGGACCATTAATCATTCATATTAAAGAGCGAGTGTATAAATAGTTTTCACATTAACCCGTCGAATAGTGACAGAAGATTTATTTCATTTCGATTTAAGTAAGGTGAGCGGAAATTGCTATGTTTTGTTTGCACTTTAGGTTATCAATATGTCGGTCGTTTGTCGTCAGAAAGCAATAGATGGCAATTTATTTAGTGAATGAATTTATTATTGAGATGAGAGGAAGATGAGTAATCATGGAAATTGGCATTCGGACAGAATTAAGTAATTAGCTTTGACCCATTACCTACATACTTTTGCATACATTTCCATCTAACATAATACGAGGAGGCGCGATAGCTCAGTCGGTAGAGCAGTGGTCTTGTAATCCTGTGACCCGGGTTCGAAACCAAGGCGATGTGCTAGTGCCCTTTGGTAAGGCATTAATCCTCATTACCAGGTCCCTCGAAGAGGACCTAAAGCCGTCGGTCGTCTGGTTGCTTACTTACAAACATTCATTCTTTCTTAGCAGTCAGGTAAAATAACCACCACCATTTCATTCCATTCCATTCCATCTTGTATTCTGCTGTATAAGGTTCAATAATAGTTCTTAGTCTGGTTGGTTCTTCTACCTGTGTGAAGCCATTAAGGAATTCAACGAACCTATGATGGAGCGTGGTGTGACTACATCCTTGAATATGGTTGTTAGCCCAGCCCCGTCTTGCTCTAAGGGCTCTATTGTTCGTACCAAAGCTGGAGAAAGATCTTCCAAAGTGCTCGATATTGGCTTATGTAAAATGATAATTATGTAAAGAGCCGTTTTCCGACCTGGATCTGTAAAGTGCTTAATTTACTCTGCTGGAAATGCGCCTTATTGCAAGACATATTATGATGCATAATGCCAGCAAATACCCAACAGTTTACCTTCTTCAACAACCATACGTCCTGTTAATCCAAACTAAGTTGATGATAAACCTAACACTATTCCTTTATACTAATCATATCCCAACGATATGATATCCTTGTAGAGGAACGGATCTAAAAGTTGAAAACGTACTAGTGGCTAGATGATCCATTAATATTAATGATAATAATATTCCCCTTTTATATATCGCTTAATACATCTACGATATCTCTAAGCGCTTTACTGTTTCTCTTGATGATATTAAAAAAAATGTATTATGTAAAGGTAAAGGTGTAATGGTATAGGTACAGGGTTGACGCCTTGATTGTAAACACAATTATTTCTTTTAACCGTTACTGCAAAGACATTACGGTCGGCATTTTCGCATGTTTTGTAAATGTATTAGTCTCCTTGCCATCAACAGAACCAATTTTGTTCTCCTCATCATGAAAATGCATAATCTTGATAAGAGTTGCATTGTTATAGCGCAGGGTACTGACCTATCTGTGAACAGTCACACGTTTATTGTAATCTCCGTGCATTCATGATTTTAAACAATGAAGTTTCCAAGTTAGCACTTTTCATCAATATTACTTCACAATTAATTGGACTCGTTTAATCATTAGCGGCTATGAAGGTTTTTTTTTTGAGGGGCGGGGGGGGGGGGGGGGGGGGGCTCGGGTTACATGTCGATAATAAATGCAAGAACTCAACGCCCCTACAACCCCTCCCCAACCACACACACACATAAACAAAAACTGCTCCTTCTGCTAAGTTCAATCCAACGAGCATCCACCTATTTCAGGTAAAAATATGCTTTTCAAAAAAAAAGTAATGCAAATGAAGATAATATCATTTGCTTAAATATAAGTGACCTTCCTGGCTGGAAACAACGACATTTCAAATCTGTAGTCAAGTTTTCAAATCACTCGACATAACGACACGTTATCATTATGAGAAAGGTGAACTTAATGGCCCGAATTCACAAAGCAAGGTTTGAGCTCAGACCAAGGTTTGAGCTCAAACCTCCTTTTGTTTCGCCAAACCTCCTTTTGTTCTTTACAAACCAGGTTTGTAAAAAACGCGTAAAACGCGTCATAATATGACGTACGAAAACCAAGGTTTGTCGACAAACCTCCTTTGTGAATTCGGGCCAATAAGTTTACTGAATATTTTTAAACTAATCTAGGCGCTCGGAGCCATCATTTACTTCACAATAGATCTACATAAAAAGCACCAAAGACTGAAATAGAATTTGCATAGGCAATGCATATTATGAAATGCAGCCTTGTGTACACTGTGGACCAGTTTTATTTTTTTAAAACTATGTACCAATTACCATGCAATCCCATGTACTTGGAAATAGAAATAAACGAAATGAAATGAAATGCCGAGATGAAAAGGCAAAAAACGATTATATTAACCATTGAAACTCGCAACAGTGAAGTTAAGGATATTGTATAAGTATTTTGTATAATATTTTGTTAAAGAGATTATTTAGAGCAAAATATTCTTGTTGTGAGAACTCTTACAACGCAATGACGACGCAGTGCATTTTGGAATGCAATGTGCAGGGACACAATGGATGCTTGCATAGATCTTGTACACTGTTATAATCATCAACTTTTGTTATGTTCATCGGTACATTAACCAGTTAACTACTGAATTCGTTCATTGTCATAAACTTAACACAGGGGCTACTCGGTTTCAGTAGGCAATGTGTTAATTAACATCTCTCTCTGTCTCTCTCTCTCTCTCTCTTTATTGCCGTAATGTTTCGCAAGAGCAGTCCCCATCCTATCATTGTAAGGCAGGCTACCACTATGAGTGCGATTTTATACACTTTCATCATCCTGATGCACCGACACTCTCCATTTAATGATTCATTCTTGAAGAGGGAATATGATACAATGGCAAAGAAATTGAATGCGAATACGAAGTTGGATGAATAATGGATAAAGCAAGCGTTGAAATCATCTCATTATCGTAATGGCACAGAACCCGGCTGACATGGTGACTATAATAGCTTGTCATACCATATGACGGTGAGAGTGCGCGAGTTTATGATATGTTATTCTGGCGCGAAGAGCCCATTGGCAAAGCGTTGCCTAGCAACTACTATCACTTTCACAGCCAGCAACGTATACGTAGATCTATTGTCTACTAAATAATTCGATGGGATGCACTTTCGCTTTTATTTATAACTTTGTTTAACTACAATATCAAAGAGATAGACTTGCATTAAGCACGTTTTATAATAATGAATAATTGTCTACAAATTGCAGTGCTTAAACCTTTAACAGGGCGATCGATTATTTTATTTTCCTTCTGTTAAAGGTAATACAAAGTTTTGGTATGGGGTCGTGAATTTGGTTCAAAAGAACTTATTGGAAGCATTTGCGATCCTACAATATTCACTGATCGTTGTCGCGGTCGAAATCGAATCTAAAGTTATGAAATCATAAATAATAATAATAAACACATTATGTTGCATAGCTCCCTCTTAAGGTCAAGATATCAATTAAGCTATAAAACAATGTGTCTTGACTAAAATCGACCGATTAGCTATTCCCGGTCGGAAATTATATACCACAACTACATATTTGAGATTTCCATGGTCGCAGCTACCATCGTACGGCCGTAGGAGCTATTTGAAATTTAATACAAATTTACCGGGAGCACCGGTAAATCTTTATATTCAATTTTTCTCGAAAGCAGAAGTGTTTTAGGAGCTAAAATTTCTAGTGCTTTTAATACATCCACAGGGGCATCCAAATATATGAAAACTGTACAGATTCACTATCCACCCATTTTTCAAAATTGCCCAAAACTTTGTAATACCTTTAACGAGTTTTATGTAGTATTTTCATTGAAAAAAGGACAAAAAGAAATCAAAGATTTCCTATTTTCATTGATAACCTAATATACCTGAGTCGATTTCCTCACAAACAGCACGTAGACTTACATAATATACAAATTTTATATTTCTATTAATTCTTAAGTTTCGGAGTCATATAATCTTAATGGGACCCACTATGCAGATTGCAGATTCATATGAAAAGTCCACCAGTTATGAATTTTCGCATCAGCTACAGTTATCAAAGATTTCGTACAATGACTTACATTATAAAACACCCCAGAAAATAGATTAGAATAAAAATTGATTTTAATATGTAAAACTGAGTCTATTGTATTTTTCATTATTTTGTTCAAATTGTCGATACCCCTTCCCTCCCCCTGGCATATGAGTCTGTCTATCTCAATTTCCGTTCTTTTTTCCTTTCTTTTCATATTTTTCTTCAATCGTTCCCTTTAATGAGCCTTTCTTTACTTCGTCACTAATAAAGCAACTAGTGACTTTTGTATCAGCTTGCTCTGCCTACCTCCCTATTATCATGATTCCAGAAAATTAGATGTGCCGAAATCCATTATTTATTTCAGTCGGAAGAAATATCCGCAAGATGTCCTTAAAATGATGAAATAACTAAAAGGAATAAAGAACAAGGGAAAAAAAGAACATACTAGTGATACATGAATCCGGTCAGAAGCATGAGTGTCAAAATGACGCACGCACTCGACTCAGCAATTAATGCGTTGTGGACAAACGACCTGCTCGTGGCGCGCAGATCGAGAACGACAGTCTGCAGAAGCGCGGGGAAAAAAACGCCAAAAATCTTACAGGTAGCTATAGTTGAGCAGACGACCGGGTAGAGAGCAGTGGACAGTGTGGATGTGACTCTCCTACTCTCGTAGCTTCCCTTTCGGTGTTTCTACTGGTCGGACAGTGGCGACTGAGCTATAAATTATATCAGCTTGGATTGCAGACTGATCCGAAATACAGTCAGAAAATCAACCGATAAAGCTGAAAAACCGGTTGGTGAATCTGTTGATCCCTCACATCGAATTACGGTGCTGACTTGTGTCATTTTCACTTGAAAAACGTCACAGATTTCACGTTTTCTGGCGAGGCTATATGTGTTTCTACCTGTGTTGACGAGTTGTTGAAAACTACTACATCCTAGAATTGCCTTTACTTGAATCCCAACATGACATCTAGATCTTTACCAATGATGTTGCTGATGTGGCTGATGTTCACTGTATACGCAAGTGATGTACAAGCGAGTAAGTAAACAATTAGTATCTTTTTTATTACTTTTTACGAATACCTGATATTTTTTCAGGAAGATGATCATTTAACATTTCATTGATTTGGCATTGATTAATGGATTACCTATATATATATATATATATATATATATATATATATATATATATATATTCAGTTTACAACTGAATTATTTACACCCCTTGCAATTTTTTGTTTGCTTTGTAACTCAAGAGTAAAAAGTGGACTCGTTGAATCTAGGGCCTTTACTGAGTCCTTGTAGATGTCACATTCTCCACAACAAAACTAAAACATTGATCGGGACAATTTTTCACATTCTCAAAAAATTACAAAAATTGGAAAGGATATGAATAATTTAGTTGTTAACTGTACGCAGAGTTAGACATGATAGAATATCGAGAGATACATAATGAGATTGGATGAAATATTCAATTCATTTTTATAGCTCATACAATGCTTGTATTGAAGTGATGCACAGAATGACAGTAAAGCAATATCGGTATTCCAATGGTCATGAAAGAAAAAATGAGCTTCAATGGAATTAATGATGGAAAACCAGCGTCGCATCCGGACTCTATAGAAATATAAATGCCATCTTTTTTCATGGTTTATATCATGATCAAGCAGGGATGCTATAGTGAATGGAAGCATTTAAAGCTTTCCATTACCCTTTTCCCCACATCAATCCTCCATAGAATTCTCTTCCAGTCTTCAATTATTCAAGACTTTTACGCAGAGGCAAGTTTTGACTACTACTAGGCGTTGGCGTTTTACATCCCACTTTCACTTTTTTCATTCACAAGTTCAGCAGAAGGTTCATTCATGGAAGCCAGTTCAAAGTCTGGCCTTTTTTCTCTCCCTTTCAGTCGTACTATATGCGAGCTGGCAGACAATAATCAGCGTGGCTGTGGGCCCACGCATTGAATTTGTATTGCGGGAAAGCAGTATTTAGTTTTCGAGCATATAACTGTGTTCAGTTCCGATTGAAAAAGGATAAAGAACAGAAAATTGAATTTGAAAAGACTCGGCTGTATTCATTGCTTTTGATCAGTATATGGAGTTACAATAAAAAGATGAGGTGACCTTGGTTGAAAGCAAGGCTTGTGGATTTAAGGTCCCTCATGAGTAGCTTATGAGTATGTCCTAAAAGAACAAACTCGTCAGATAAGAATAATACATACATTTAAATGCTGACATACTAAACTAACTAAAAAACTGAGAAGATATAAACATAAACAAGTACACTGTCGCTCATAAAGGTGGAATATTTTGTTTTTATTCCAATTCATGGAATTATTTTTAAAATGATTTAAAAATAATAGATCTAGATAATAGTGTACATTCTCAGATTTTATTGAATAATAATTTGCCAATGTGTGTTTTGCGTGACTGCTAAAGCATGTGTATGCTACTATGCTTATCAACTAGGGGACCTATGCCCTTAAGTCATAAATGACAGTAATGAGGATTAATGCCCCACAAAAGGGCACTAATATAGCACATCGACACGGTTTTGATCCTGGGGCCTCACATTTACGAGGCCATTGCTTTGTCACTGAACCATGACTGTACGCAGCGGGGGCTAGGGTAGGGGGCAGTTTCCATAAATAAAAAATAAAACAGAAAATGCAATAATTTTTCAATAATTTATTGCATTTAATCCCGGTGCCTAACATAAAAAAAAATCTGTGTGCCCATGCCTTGAGCCATAATGCATGGCCGTCCAGAGGATTTTTTTATGTTGGGGACCGGGGTAAAATGCAATAAATTATTGAAAATTTATTGCATTTTCTGTATTTTATTTTATTTATGGAAACTGCCCCCTACCCTAGCCCCCGTTGCCTACAGTCATGGTTCAGTGACAAAACAATGGCCTCGTAACTGTGAGGCCCCAGGATCAAAACCGTGTCGATGTGCTATAGTAGTGCCCTTTTGTGGGGCATTAATCCTCATTACTGTCATTTATGACTTGAGAGCGTAGGTCCCCTAGTTAATAAGCATAGTAGCATACACATGCTTTAGCAGTTCCGCAAAACACACATTGGCAAGTTATTATTCAATAAAATCTGAGAATGTATACTATTATCTATATCTATTATTTTTAAATAATTTTTAAAATAATTCCATAAATTTGGGTAAAACTAAAATATTCCACCTTTATGAGCGACAGTGTATAATAAAATCTACTGACTACTAAAGAAAAAGGGACAAGCCGTCGTCATCTATAGGCCTTTCTAGAAGCAGCCGGTTCAGTTATTATCTAATCTAAAAGTATATACCTAATATAAGGATAGATAATTATTGAAATGATCAATGTATATACTTCCTTCTTCAAACTACGAAAAAAAGATACACACTTATAATTAAATAATCAGAAGAATGTCATATCAGTATAGCGAATTACATTGCTCAGAACAACAGTACAAACTCTTCTTCTGAAGTGTTTGCATATATTTTCAAAAAATGAAATTAATTTTGAAACCACCTACTCGCCCCTCTAATCATAAAACTGTCTGCTGTCTTCAATGAAATAATCAAAGTAAATTCCTAACACATTTTGTTGTTTAATCGGTCCCCCCTCAAACAAAACAGAGGAAAGAAAAAGAAATGTCTTGAGATAAATTAAGATAAAACAATTAAATGTTTATGATGTCCTAAATCAATGATTATTTTTTACTTTAATGCGTTCACATCTTCAGGAGATGGCAAATCATTTTATTTATCATAAATTTCATACTTTCCTATTGTAACAGAAGGCTGCAGGGAACATCAAATCTCAAGTTAAACAGACACAAAGATTTTAAGATTTGTAATAATATACTTCTAACACGGAAACAAAATCCCACGAGCATTAAAAAAAAACCCTCTATCTAAATGTACAAAAGGAAATCTAATTGTCCCTGATTTTTTTCTTCTTCTGCTTTTATGAAGTTCCTGACTATTTTTGAGAAACGCAAGATGTCACTTTGCTAAATTAGGGCACGACAAGGCATACTGTTTTAGTATTTCATATATTGGAATAATTTTGTTGCGCTAGTAACTCATTAATTTCAATAACTTATGAGTATGGGGTTATATTATATATCTCTTTTGTTCCGTTAATCTGCGCACGTAATTTGCGAGACATCTGCGCATGTCAGCTTGTGGATTTGATATCCATATTTTGTAATGCGATTTGAGTCTTTGATAGCACGTAGTGGGTAGCGTTTGTAATTTGCGTACATTTCCTGTTTGATTGACGGTTCCCCCCTTCATCTTGGGACCACCGAGCTAGGCTTCAATCAACCTTAAGTTGATTTGAGCGATAGGGAAAATCACGTGAAAGGATCGATGGGCAAAGACGTGTAGATAATGTCAATCGGTCGTTAGGTGTACAGGCTACAGGCTACAAGTTTGATCTCCTAATTGTTGTCCGAGGAGAAGAATCCAATTACCATGGTATTCCGATCGGAGAGCTTCATGTTAATGGCGATGGTAGTGAGCTGGGAGACGGTAACACGCGATGCAAGCGAGAGCAGGTGAAAAGGCAGGAATACCCGCTATTCAAATCAATCCTGTTTCCGGTGTGTCCCACCTTTCACATGAGTTCGTGTCTGATGTATCTCTGCCCCGAAGAGGTTTGTGATTTTAGCGGTAGCACGTCTCTTTGGAAACAAAGAAACGTCCTAGTTTTACCACGAGTGCAGTGGCGTATCCAGGATTTCACAATTGGGGGGGGGGGGGGGGGGGGCATTCGATCACAGGTCTGACTGGTTAGATGGAATATAAATGATCAAGGCCAACTATTCGAGGCAGTTTTGAGATGTTTTTTGATTCTTGTAAGCTGTTTGGCTAATCACAAATCCAAATCAGAATCTTTTTTTTGTCATAGTGCTCAATTTTTATTCTTTTTTTTACCAAAGCTTTTTCTCAGTATTTAAAAGTATTTTCAGTACAGATTGTCAGATTTCATGATGATATGGATAATGTTTGGAAAATATATTCATAGAAGAGATGATACTTGGATGTGGAAAGGCTTTTCAGAGCAAGTTACCATGTCTATTTAGAATATGATGACTTATATCGATCGGTTTTTCAAACTGTTTGAAATCTCATCATTCCCATCCAAATACTCATTCTTTCTTCGAAAAATAATGATCAATACTGATAAAACTCATGAATAATTATGTGACGATGGATTGGATGAAGTCGATTCCCCCGAGACGCTCTAGGCCTGTTTCTCTTTCCTGGAAGAAAGAATCAAAACCCCTTTTCACGCAAAATGTCATTGCCATGGCAACACGTGACGAGAGGGAATAAACATATCACGTGACCAAGGGGACTAGCTATTGAGATATTGAGATGGTTAATGACACACGGCATCATCGCGTCCCCGGTGTGTTTTTCTTTTGTTACGCCACAAAAAAAAATAGTGTACGGTTGGGGAACGGTGAAACCTCTCCGATGTCCGCAGGTGTGATCGACGCAGTCTGCAGTATCAAGCATTTTACCTGAATTGTTGTTTAACCGAGTGTATCTGATGTTCAGATGTAAAATATAGACCGGAAACGGTTTGGTGCACTGTTGTGATTATTTTGTTCTTGATTCAAATAATAGAGAGAGCTGGGAGAGACAGGGGGGTTGAGAGAGAGAGAGAGAGAGAGAGAGAGAAAGAGGCGAGGATTAGAGAGGGAAATAGAAGGAGAGAGCGAGAGAGGGAGAGAGAGAGAGAGAGAGAGAAAGAGAGAGAGAGATAGAGAGAGGGGGGATAAAGACAGACATAGTGGCGAATACATGAGCTGACTGAATTTTTTTTAAATAATCCTTTACCTGACCATGAACAAATAATTACACAGTCTGATATGATCACTTTTATCCATTAGGTTTGATTGGAGTAGTAATCTGATGAATTATGACAATCATTTTCATGATGATTATATAATTAGCTAATTAGTCAGGCGGGATTGATTAGGCTGAACGAGACAGAGGAGAGAGCAGGCATGCTTTTGACATCATC